CACTGGTCGGGAATTTGGCCGAGCTCTCTTGGGCTATACCAACTGCCCAAAACGAGCCAGCCAGCTGGCTTCTGTGGACTCTGCAGACCAGCCAGAGGCTAGTGGGTCGGTGGGAATTTGACCTTGACTTTTCAGATCCTGTCAGAACCAGGACTCTGCTGGAGCAGGGGCTGTTGTGTGAGGGCACCTGCGTAAGTGCCACCAGGCAGAGAATACTGTGAAAACCATTAGGTAGGAAATGGACAGCAGGAATTTGAGTTGTGCAAAAAAAAAAAAAAAAGAAAGAAATTTAAGACTAAACTCAAACTACTGAATATTTCTCTTCTTAGTACGAAAATGCTGACAACTAAATGGACATCACCTAGCAGGGAAAAAAAATAGAAAAGAAGAATAAAACTCAGATACCCACTTCTCTTGTTTATCTAGTGCTGCTATAACAGATGCCATTGTTGTCATGTGCCATCAAGTCACACTGACTCATAGCTGACCCTCCAGCAGGTCTTTATGGGCTGAAAATTGCATAGGAGAAAACTGTCTGTCTTTCTGCAGATGAACAGATGGTGAATTCAAACCACATGCTTCTTGGATAACAATGCAACTCCTTACCCATGAGGACATCTTGTATTTTATAACAGATTGTAGATGTTATGTGCCATTGAGTCAGAACCAGCTTATAGCTGCCCCTCCAGTGGGTTTACAGAGGCTGTAAATTGCATGGCAAGAAAACTGCCCACTTTCTTCCAAGGAATAGCTATCTGATAGATTTCAACTACCTGGCTTTGGGTTAGTAGTGCAACTCCTTACCACTAGGCCACCAGAGTTTTCTATAACAGAGATAGTATGAGCAAATGACTTTAACAAACAGAAATGCATTCTCTTATAATTTGTTGTTGTTGTCTTCTTACATGCTAGCAAGTCAGAACCAACTCATAGCTGACACTCCAGCTGGTTTTCACAGGCAGTAAATCATGTGGGAGAAGGCTACCCATTCTTTTTCTCATGGAGCATCTGGTGTATTTGAACCATGTATCTCTGGTATTGCAGTGAAGCTTTTTACCTCTACTCTACCAGAGCTCTCTAATTTATAATTTAGAAAGCTAAAATCAAATGCTATAAAGTTGGAACTAACTGATAGCTGATCTTCCAGGTGATTACCAATGCTGAAAATCACACATAAAGAGATTGCACATCTTCCTCTCTCATCGCTGCTCTCTCAGAGCTACTCCCTACAGTATATCCTACCGGAGCTCCTCAAGAAGCTAAGAAATCCAAATTCAGGGTTGTATAAAAAGAACAAGGATGGCATCTGTCAGCCATCTGACCTCCACTAACTCTACAAAGGGAAACTGCACCCGTCAACAAGATCTACAAAGCTAATTCCTTTAGTTCTATGGTCTTTCACACTTATGCATCTATTTCTACAAATTCCAACACTAGTATTACTGCTACAATGGGTCCAAAATCCATGGCAATACTTACATAGACTTTACAGAACCATGTTCATGGTTATGGGGTTTATTAGGAAAGTTAACAGGTTAACAGTGCAGGTTAAGAACAGGATAAAATCCCTCATTTCAGATAGCTTCTAAAGGATGGCAATAGTTCCTTTGACCTTTAGCCCTTAATCCTGCCAGTTATGGTGTTCTCCAACAAGCTTTGGTGAAGGCTTCTGGCTCTGGCTCTCTGGAGCAGCAGTCCTAAGTCAACTCAGTCTCACACCAGTCTCTGGTTCTCTACTGAAGTTGCTGTTGCTCTTCTGTAGATCCCACTCTGGCTGACGCAGGAATCTCTGGCTCTGAAGGACATGTGCTGCCTCCTCTTCCTTGTTGGTGCTGAGATTCCCAAATTCTGCCTCTCAATTTAGTGGTGTGAGGCTAGCCAATCTTCTTGGGGATAGATCAACATGCTGCATTTTCATGATCCCATTCATTCACATGACAAAGTAAAAATATATGTCTAAGATAGCCATTTTAAACAATAAACCCGTGGCACCACAAGGGTATTGGCTATAGTGGGTTTTCTTTCTCTGCCAATTCTGAAGTAAGGTTATTATTTCTTTCAGCATCTTTAAGTCCAGCAATCCTTGGAGCTTTCCTTGTGTCTTGGCATTCCCCTATGTCAAGGAGCTTCCCAGGACCTGGTTCAAAGCATGTGGTCCATTTCCGGTCTTCTTTCTTGATACTGAGATCCCGTCTTCCCCCTCTGCTCCCTCTTCTCTCCTTTTATCTCCCACAAGACAAAAGCTGTTATAGTCACACCTCAGAGAAACTCCTATTTCATTAGATCAGAGAGTTGACCTGTCTTCAGTTGATCTCTAATCACCTGCTTATCTAGAGTCACTGATACGTCTTCCTTAGTACAATCAGTGTAATGTCATCATTGAAATGGAAACAGACTGTGTGATGTAAGGGAAAGACAATTGAGGCCCCTTCAGATTTAAGTATGACATAGAACTGGAAAAGTTATATACCCTTGAGGTAGAACAGTCCAGGTGTATTGTTGTCCTTGCCAGTTGAGGGTAAACAGCTTCTGGGATTCCTTCAAAATTGACATTTAGAAAAAAACATTGCCTAGCTCCATACCCAAATACCAAGTACCAGGATATGTATTACTATATTCTGGCCCAAATAAGACATGCCTTCTACATTTGTTTTCATTTGGGTTTGGTTCCCCCCCCCAAGTTCCTGGAAGGCATTGTTATACTATTTTAAATTTTCATATAAAAATGCTAAAAAAAAGCTCACACAGTAATTATTATAAAAACATTTCTTACAAAGAAAACTAGATTGGCAAACAAATGTAAAAGATGCAGGTTATTTGTGTAAAAATATGCTAATTTTCACAAGCAATGAAGCCACATTTGAAATATCACTGGAGACATGTAGTCACCACCACTATGCATTAACAGTCTTCAAGATTTAACTATTTCATTGTATGGGCCAAACAGGTCCACTGAATGGAGATGTGCTAAGAATCACCACCTTTTCACACTTTAAGTGTTATGTACCACAGAGTTGGAACTGACGCACAGCTGGACCTCCTATAGGTTTTCAGAGGTGGTAAATCACATGGGAGAAGACTGCCCATCTTTCTCCCATGAAGCAACTGGTGAATTTGAACCACAGCCTTCAGATTGACAGCACACCTCCTCACCACTAGGTCACCAGGGCTATTAAATTCTGCAATTCTTCCAGGAATATAATATTGCTTTTGGTTTACTATCTTCATAGGCATTGGTAGTTCTAACAAAGCTTACTCTATAATAGTAGCCTTACTCAACATGGAAGGGATCCAATCAGCTACTTTAGTTGCTGGGTCTGTGTAACAAATTATGCATTCTGGAACTGGGGAAATGACTATAAGCTGGGATCTGGGACCCACTAGACTCACTGTGAGACAGACCTGATCTCAGATGCTGATAATAAGCTGAGCGTGTCAGAGATGGTGGGGTTGGCACAGAATAGAGCACGGTTCAGCTTGGCTGTTTATAGGGTATGGATATGAGTCATACTTGATAGCATTTAACTACAACAACAGCCCACATATTTCCACTTTGACTGGTGGGATACAGTGACATTTGTTTAGGAATTCTTAGAATTACTATCAGTTAATAACCAGTGACAAGTAATCCCCCAAAAGGCTTCTCTCCAATGAAGAGTCACTAAAAAGACCACAGCTATCTTTAGAGAATTTTTTGTTGTTGTTGAGAATATTGAGAGAAAAATAATAGTACAAACTTTTGTAAGTCAAATAGGGTAATTCCTCAAGTGACCTGGCCACCCCTTCCAACAAGGGGTTTTATAGTTGTAAAACCAGCTTATGTCTAGGAATTGAATGAAGGATTGTGACTTTTGATCCTTGAAATTCAAGGATAGATTTACATTAACTTAGCTAGTATTCTTTTGCTTATACAAAGCAAGTAAATATTTAGTATATTTCCAACTTATTTCACTCCTAGGGACACTAAGTCCTAAATTGGGAGCTCAGGTAGTAATAAATTTGAGTTTGAATTTTGATCCTCTCCATCTTCTTTAAGAGAGGAGGAGGAAATATAAAGTTGAAAACGAAACATCAGCTAACATTTGTTGTGATTTTCATCTTGCATTACTTTCACAAGGTAAATGTGATTAATAGATGTGGCATAACAAGGAGGAATTTGTGTGAGTTTGTAGTCACTCTGTCTCTACTCCATTGTCCTCCAATATTTCTGTTTATGTGTTCATGTGTTCATTCCACAGCGATTACTGACTTTTGTGAATTTTTAACATACTCAGAAGAATCTGTCAATGTGGTCTTCCGGCTCACTCATTTACACCCTGAATATTTAACTTTTTAAGAATCTTTTCAGTATT